TTATGTTTTTAATGGTGAATTTTCCTTGCTGAGGAAAGTTTCATTATTTGACATGATTGGTCTGGTATACTGAAACTAAGGAGCCTAAATTAAACTGGCATGAAATAACGTAGAGGGTGGAAAGCGTACACTGAAGTGTCTGAACAAATTTGTGAAGGGCTGTTATCTGCTCAGCTGTGGAACGTTCCTCTTTCACATGCTTCCTGTGGCTCTTATCACTTAAGTTTTTACTCCATTAGTTTTGCACATAGGCAAGACCATGAGACCACGCAGAGCCTGAAACGCTGGCTGACCCACTCCCAAAACAAGGTTCAAGAGACTAAGCAAAACACTTTACCCTAGGTATTATTTGAAAAGACATAACTTTTTCACTGTAGTGCTGATTTTAATTCAGTTTTCAGTTGGCTACAGTAATATTTAAGACCATGATTAAAACCAAGCAATTACTTAAGCATTTCACTGACTTGGGCCTCTATTTCATGGTAGTTTTTTTAATTCTTGGGGCAGCTGTAAAAATCAGGGAGGTAGCTCTGCAAGTGGGCTGTTACCAGGGTCCTCTTTGGTGAGGGTCTTGTCCCTGGGCTCATTGTTACAAACCCCTGCCCCATCACTTTCTTTTGTATTTTTTATTTATGATTGTCTATATATCTTTCTTTACTGCAGTGCAAAACCCAAGAGAAGTTCTTAACTGCCAGTTACGTGGCAATGATTTCTGTTAGCACTTGGAAACAGACAAATTATTCATTGGTACAATCTCTGTACGCTTTTACAAATCTGTCTTTTAAACTTACGTGTGTGTGAACTTTCCAGCTACTTGTGGGAATTAAAATTACTGTTACAGTCCATTGCTTTGGTTGCGCGCGCGCTGCCGTGCCTTACCAAATAGCTGATACCTTCCAGCCTGCAGCCCAGCCAAGAACTCGCCGTTGCAGCTCTTGATGACTGCTGCCCGCTTGCCTGCCTCCGCTCTTCTTGAAGGCCAGCAAATATTTTAAATCCCAGACTGCAGGAAGAAAAAAAAAAAAGAAAAATTCGTATTCCCTTTAAGGAGAGTTCTTTGTATACAGTGACCACGGCCCAAAACAGTGTGCCTCAGCTTCATCAACAGATCTGCAGAATGAGTGATCTGGTTCTATGCTATGTTGGCAATACTTTGCATCGGATGTGTAGAAGATTAAAAAAACCAAAAAACCCAAACCAAAAAAACTTTGTGTGAATTGAAAGTTGGCTGCATAAATATTTTCTATATAAACTTATTAAATATTCATTGATATTGAGTTGCTTAAAGTGATAACTTGACTACCAGGTCTGAAACTTGTACTGGGAGGATCGAATATTGCAGCTGCACTGAACCTGATTGATTTCAGTTGGGTTCTGCGTGGGTGCTTGAGTCCACCTGCACAGAATAAATACATATATAACTCCAGTTTTGAAAAATAAGATTCTATTTTGCAGCATGTAGGTCGAATTAAAGAGCTGCTCAGGCCCGTGCTTTCCCAGGCAGAGGTGGAGCAGCCTAATGAAGGCCACGTGCTCATACACTCACCGAATTCAGGGAGATGTAGCTGCTGTGTGACAGCAGGGGAGGTGCGGAATCCAATTCCAGCTTTTAATGTTCAGGTTTACTGATTAGTTTTGCCATTTCAAATGTTATACTTGCAGTTCATGTTTGCTTATCTTTATTTGTTACTTACTAAATTTCAAATTGTGTAAGAACCAGAGATGGCTTTGTAGCGTGTTTTAACAAAATTTCATACCTGTCTTCAACCAAGTGAAATGAGAAGAGGGGATTAATTTGGACTTCATGGTATTTTAATGATTTTTCACTGCTATGAATTGTTTTTGCTCCCTGTAGTCTGTCCTTTATTGCATTAGTGCCGCAGTACAATACTGGCGGGGGATACTGTTTTATGAACTATGGTGTCTCAGTCCTGCTGTTATTCATCATTTAATACAGCCTAATTGATGCTATTATGGACCCTTCCAAAATTAAAAATAAATATTTCTGCTTTAGCTGGGTGAAGGTCACTTCATCTTTAGTGAGCATGGAAAGCCAAATAACTATTTGATCCATACCTTTATAAAAGGGATATAAGCAGGAGTCCTTTTGTATGTGAGGAACTTGAGGATTAGCACTAAAGGATAACATAAGGGGAAGAGTTTTATGCCGCAAGGTGCTTCAGAGGTAGATCCTTTCTCATTACATACTGTGTTTCAACAGTTGCAAGTCAATTTTTTCATGCTCATCAGGTTTAAACTTTGCATTTATTTTGACAACTAGATACAAATGATTTTTGCAGAATGTGGCTTTAAATGCTTTCTCTGGTGCGCTGTAGGTAAAAAATGACTTCCCCTTTCCCCTCAGTGCTGAAATTCGGACTTTTCTCAAATATCTGGTGGTGGTTTTAATTCTGCTATTAACAAGTTACTTCTGTATGAAAACGCACAGTAACATTTTAGTGTGGCTACCAGAGCTGCTGGCAGCTCGTGTGGATTGCTGCATCTCATGTGGGAGAGTGGGGTGTGGGTGGCAGCAGTGCCTCGGACCGGGGCTTGCCCCCTCGCACTGCCACCCAGCCCTGCGAAGCCCAGTGGCTCGGAGGAGCGAGCAGGGGATAGTGGAGCCCTCCTGCTATGGTTGTTACCCTTCACGCTGGGGCTGGAAGGGGCTTATAAGCTCTTCCGTAGAGGCAGCTTGGCTGTTAATATGCCTGTAGGAAATGCGAGAGGAGTATAGAAATCCTTCTGATACGGGATATAAGGATTGCTCACACAGTCAGTTCCTTCACCATATTGTACTGTTTTGTTCCCTTTTTTAAACAGAGTGCTACCAGACAAGAGACACACCGGATGAATTTGTGCTTTATCCACTCTGAGCATAAAAGCATGTGCTGTAGTGTCAGATCCATGCCAATCAGTAAAGAAATGTTCCAGCAAAAACTTTTGTCAGTGTCGTCCATCATGGAGGGATCAGTCTGTGTCTGGGCGGGGTGCAGCCCTCCAGCAGCTCAAACCTTCCACCTGCCCTGCAGAGGTGGGCCACATATATCCTATGGATGATGGGAAGGGCTACGAGGATGTGAGAACTGCCAGGTAAAGAAAGCAATGGGAAGAAGAGAGGCGTCAAATGTTTCTGTAACTCATAGTTGCCGCTCTGCCTGCTCTGATCTCCCTGAGAGAAGGCCTTGACATGATGGAGTCAGTGGGCATTGTCCAAAGCCCTGGGATGTGGGGAGGTCTGTGGTGCCAGACATGGGCTGTCCCCATCGGACACACTCGGTGCTGTTCTCAGGTGCCTTCTGGGGCCATGTTGTTTTCTTTAAAGCACCCGTGCTGCCTGGGGTTCCACCACTGCTTCCACTACACTTCATACAATGCTGTGGCTATAAACCATAGAAATTATGAAAAAGTCCTTCAAGTTAGGTGATAACCACTGTGGCACAGCGAGTTTCTGGGTACACTGCCGGCCAGCTACCACGCCAGGTGTCTGGCATGGGAACGTGGCTGCAGCTGGGCATCTGTTCTTGGTTCTTGCTGAGCAAACGTGGGGTGTGGAGGGTGAGCACGGCTGTGGGGTGGGATTGACCCTCTCCTCGCTCATCCCTAGCGGAAAACTCATCTTCGTGGTGTGTTAACTGCCTGCTCAGGCTCACTGCCAGCAACCAGCGGCCCTGGCACCGGCTGCAGCAGCGGTGCTGGCACAGATCTGCCCGAGGCAGCACTACGTGCCCCACAAGCCACTTCATCGACCCAACGGTGCCAGCTCAAGGGGACTGAACAGGGACCCAATGACTGCAAAAGGGCTGGGTAGTTGTAGCGGCTCTAAAAATATTTTTGAGAACGGAAGATCGATTTCTGTCTGAGCTGTATCAGGAAGATCCACTTTTTTGGGGGTTGGGTTTTTTTTTTAATGCTTTTGGAGTAGTTATTGGAGCATCTTTCAGAAATCCGAGTTTATGCAAATACCAAGTTACGGCCGGGCCCAGAGCCGGGACCTTA